CAGCTAGGACTGTATACCTTGTATATGTACTTGTAGTAAATAAAGATATTATTATTAAGATGGCAGACCTGAGGCCTAGCTTCTCCCTACGAGCCCCATGAGGGGGCGGGGACTGGGGCTTGGCCTGGGGACAGCTGGTCCCAGAAGATGAGGCGGTACTTGCACCTCCTACCATGGCAGACATAGGTCTCAGGCACTCCCAGGACAGGGAGCCAAGGCCGGGTCACTATCTGGGAAAGACCCGGGCCGATTGAGTACCGGCGAGGTATATAGGCCTACCTGGTGTTTACCTGGAGAGAGTTCCGGGGGTCAACGCCCCCGTGGCCCGGTCTGTGACCAGGCCTCAAGGTAGATCAGGGCCTGATCAACCAGGCTGTTACTGCTGGCTGCACGCAATCCAACGTACGAACCACAGCCCGGCTGGTCAGGTACCGACTTTAGGTGTTGGTCCAGTGCCTAGCTGACAACAATGACATACTACAATACAGAAAGCTGCATTTCGGCCAAATTGCGTCAGTTTTGTCCCAGGATGCGTGCACCAGCAGCTCATGTTCTGAGAAGCTAGTTTATTGTGCACCAGCAGCTCATGTTATAAGAAAGAAGGAACACTGCAACAGGCCTACTGACCCATGCGGAGCAGGTCCATGTCCCCCCCGGATTAGCCCAATGACCCACCCAGTCTGGTCACCGCCACTTAAGGAAGGAGCACGGCACCAGACCCAGCAGCACAAGATAGTCAGGTCCAACTCACATCCACCCACACCCACTCATGTATTTATCTAACCTATTTTTAAAACTACACAACGTTTTAGCCTGAATAACTGTACTCAGGAGTTTGTTCCACTCATCTACAACTCTATTACCAAACCAGTGCTTTCCTATGTCCTTCTTGAATCTGAATTTTTCCAACTTTAAACCATTGCTGGGAGTCCTGTCTTGGATGGAAATTTTCAGCACGCTATTTACATCCCCTTTATTTATTCCTGTTTTCCATTTATACACCTCGACCATATCCCCCCTAATTCTACGCCTTTCGAGAGAGTGCAGATTCAGGGCCCTCAGTCTATCCTCATAGGGAAGATTTCTGATACATGGGATCATCTTTGTCATCCTCCTCTGTACGTTTTCCAGAGCATTTATATTCATTCTGGAAATCTAGTTTATTGTGCACCAGCAGTTCATGTTATGAGAAGCTAGTTTATTGTGCACCAGCAGCTCATGTTATGAGTAGCTAGTTTATCGTGCACCAGCAGTTCATGTTATGAGAAGCTAGTTTATTGTGCACCAGCAACTCATGTTATGAGAAGCTAGTTTATCGTGCACCAGCAGTTCATGTTATGAGAAGCTAGTTTATCGTGCACCAGCAGTTCATGTTATGAGTAGCTAGTTTATTGTGCACCAGCAGCTCATGTTATGAGAAGCTAGTTTATCGTGCACCAGCAGTTCATGTTATGAGAAGCTAGTTTATTGTGCACCAGCAGCTCATGTTATGAGAAGCTAGTTTATCGTGCACCAGCAGCTCATGTTATGAGAAGCTAGTTTATTGTGCACCAGCAACTCATGTTATGAGAAGCTAGTTTATCGTGCACCAGCAGCTCATGTTATGAGTAGCTAGTTTATTGTGCACCAGCAGCTCATGTTATGAGAAGCTAGTTTACTGTGTACCAGCAGCTCATGTTATGAGAAGCTAGTTTATTGTGCACCAGCAGCTCATGTTATGAGAAGCTAGTTTATTGTGCACCAGCAGCTCATGTTATGAGAAGCTAGTTTACTGTGTACCAGCAGCTCATGTTATGAGAAGCTAGTTTATCGTGTACCAGCAGCTCATGTTATGAGAAGCTAGTTTATTGTGCACCAGCAGCTCATGTTATGAGAAGCTAGTTTATCGTGCACCAGCAGCTCATGTTATGAGTAGCTAGTTTATCGTGCACCAGCAGCTCATGTTATGAGAAGCTAGTTTATTGTGCACCAGCAGCTCATGTTATGAGTAGCTAGTTTATCGTGCACCAGCAACTCATACAGTGTCAGCGCCAAAGAAATATTTTAGAGGTGCCAGTGGGTTTTTGTCAGATTCCACCAGTCATAGTCACGTCTATAAAATATTGCAATTCCACCACACAGCTATCCTTCCCACAATGCAATACGTGGGTCCAATCGCAAAAAAAATCAGGCTTGTTATCATCATTGCAAGTTGCTAGTTTTTTGTGTACCCCATATCCATCCTGTGGACAGTAGCGCAAGAGCATATGGATACACAAAAGGCCTAGGAACTAGGCCCCAAAAGGGTTAACAGGTGTACATATGGGTTTATATCTACATATCTACAGTTCACTTATCTGTTACAAGCAAATCTAGATATATATACCAGATATACTAAGCAAATTTAGGAAATTTGCTTAGTATATCTGGTATCTTATTTTCATTAATAAGATATCTTGACATGTCACATAGGTTATACTGTCTGTCTCTGTATTCCTCAATAAGTGGACAATTAAGCACACAGTATTCACATAATTTGCATTTAGTTTGATCATCATCTGTGTGTCTCCCAAACTGCCAGAAGTACTTGTAACCAAGCCTAAGCCTGGCCACTATAACATCAGTCAGTATTCACACTACAAGTTACTCCATAAACATATTTATTTACGTTCATGTTATCATAGTGGGTTATAGATCTACTCAGGCTTCTAACTGCATTCCTATAACAATCATTTTCGTTATTTACTTCTCTCCTAACATTATTCCTAATGCTAGACACAGATATACCAAAGTTATATTCTACATTCTCCTTCTTGGTATTCTTCTTGGCTAACATATCAACTTTGTCATGAAGGAGTTATCCAGTATGTGATGGGATCCATAGCAATTGTACATGAATCCTTTTGTCCCTGATTTTTGAGTATCTATACCTGTCTTCTCCAATGAGCATATTGTTGGAGTCATTATATTAGTCAAGAGCCTTCAATGGTGACATAGAATCAGCAATGATGATAGAGTCAATCTCAGTGTCATAAGTTAGCTTTTGCGCCATTAGGATTGCAAACAATTCAGTTTGCAATGTAGACGCCAAGTTGTTAATTCTTATGCCTAACTCAACAAATTTATTATCGTTCTTAACTAGGGAGGTGGCAACAAGAGCAGATGCAGCCCTGCCAGAAGACTCCTGTTTAGATCCATCAGAGTATATAACTTGTGATAACTTATTACTACCAGCTAGGCCAGAAATTTATTCTTGAGCAGTTGCTTTAACAAGTGATTTAAGGAAGGGATTACTAGCAATGAGCTTCTTGGGAGGGACTTGCAGGTATGTGATATTAAATGAACACATCTTCCATGGAGGGGAGAAATGCTCTTGTTGTCTACAGTGATACAGTTCATGCAGGTTATAAAACTTAATGCAATTGCACGTTTTCACAATCCATTTAGATCTGTGTGTATTTACCTCTAGACACTTGGCAAGAGTCATTGTGACAGTGTCTGGTTCATTTCTTAACATTCTAATACCGAGTACAGTGTTAATCTCAACAATCCTATCATTGCAAACATTGGTCACTCACTCGTGGACCGTCTCCAAATAACAGTTTATTCATCTAGCCGGTGCAAGCTGTTCACGCAGTCTCAAAATTGTAAATATTTAATAATTAACAATAAAATGGTTTGCCATTTCCTGTATGGTTTGTATGAGCGTGTCTCCAAATGGCTGCTTGTTTGAGCACTAAGCTGTAATACTCCAGTGTGTGGTCCACACACTTGTTATATATCTTGTGACTAACACGGAAACTGTACAGTTTTGGGGATCTTTTACTCGTCTAACTAATCTGAAGCTGTAGTTTAATAAGGAGGGAGGGTGGGGAAATCTATTCGTCAAGAGAAATGGGAAAAAAATATGAAGCGAGTATTAGCCGTATGAAAATCCACACTTGTGGTCATATCAGGATGATTTGTAGATGTTTTCAAGGTCTTCTCACTTAAGTGTTAAAGCTGTCACTGCTAATATTAAGTTTGTTTGGATCTACCAAGTGGACCTAGTAGCGACCAGCAAAGAGGCGGGGCCAGGAGCTGTGAATCGACCCTTGCAACGATAGCCCAATGAAAATAAGTCACTTTGCCGGACTGTTTTTGGGTTATTGTAGGTAATTTACACAATGTATGAAAATTGTACTTATATGTACCTGTACCTAAATGAACTTACTTGTAGATGAGTACGAATAGGTGAATAAACACACACACACACACACACGTAGTGGAGGCAGGAACCATACACAGTTTTAAGACGAGGTTTGATAAAGCTCATGGAGCGGGGAGAGAGAGGGCCTAGTAGCAACCGGTAAAGAGGCGGGGCCAGGAGCTAGGACTCGACCCCTGCAACCACAAATAGGTGAGTACAAATAGGTGAGTACACACACACACACACACACATCTGGTCAAGCACGTCAAGAAATTAGAGAAAGTGCAAAGGTTTGCAACAAGACTAATCCCAGAGCTAAGGGGATTATCCTACGAAGAAAGGTTAAAGGAAATCGGCCCGACGACACTGGTGGACAGGAGGGTCAGGGGAGACACGATAACGACATATGAAATACTGCGCGGAATAGACAAGGTGGACAAAGACAGGATGTTCCAGAGACGGGACACAGAAACAAGGGGTCACAATTGGAAGTTGAAGACTCCGATGAGTCAAAGGGATGTTAGGAAGTATTTCTTCAGAGTTGTTAGGAAGTGGAATAGCCTAGAAAGTGACGTAGTGGAGGCAGGAATCATACATAGTTTTAAGACGAGGTTTGATAAAGCTCATGGAGCAGGGAGAGAGAGGACCCAGTAGCAACCAGTGAAGAGACGGGGCCAGGAGCTACGACTCGACCCCTGCAACCACAAATATTTGTGTAAAATTATTTATATTTTAATTTAACTTCTTTCTGAATATTTTTCATACAGTCAGCTAACTTTATTCACGAAGCTCCTTCATACTTTCATAAAAGGATAAATTTAAACACACTGAATGAAATTCTTTCATATATTTTTGCCAATATACATTTGGATGACGCTGACATAAACAATCTTATGAGTATGACGTGAGTAGGTGAATATAGGTGAGTCAATTTTCTTTACAAGTATGGATAAAAAAAAGTTTGACAAAAATATGTCAACAAAACTTAAAATAATTTGGCTTCATTGCCATTGACGTGATCAAGGTTCACTTACGTACTGACTACAGGTGTCAGCACGAGTGAACCATTGGTCACTAGACGCGGTGTAGCATCACAGAGACACACCTGGAACGCAGCAGAACTACCGAGGTAGGGTTGAGTCTTCTGTGTTGGCGTGGACGTGATCAGGTGATGATGATGTGCGGATGACGGTGGGTGATGTTTGAACCTTAACGTTGAAGAATAACCTCCTGAAGTGACCTTTCTGACAGCGAGGAGGGACGCTGAGGAAGATTGTAAGTCCTGCGCTGGCAGCAGGTGTCTTACCTTACACGCTTTATGGGTTAATTCATTAATAAAATCGAAATCACTTGTAAAAAAATCCACGTCGGCGAGACAGTTATGACAGAGAAATACTAACATACTGGTTGGTGTTGACAGATCAATTTCTGTGGTCATGACGGCAGAGCTGATGTAGGTCTGTGTGTTTTGCTGTTGTAGTTCTTGCAGAAGAGTGGCAAGGTCGTGTAAATGTATACATATTTACACAAGTTGTCGCTGACCGCAGGAAGGAAATAATCCACGCTCAGTGGACGTTCTTCAATTTACGTGGAAAATACTTAAAGACAATGTTTCAGGCTAATGAGATGTCACATCGGGTATTTCTCCATTTTAAGTAGCTCCTTAGGCAGTAGATAACCATCAAACTCCATTCACAGAGGGAATAATAAATAGTTATCTTTACATAAGTTATAAATTATGAATATATATATATATATGTATATACGGCCGTGTGATCCGCAGGAGATTTGTTGTTAGGTGGGCGGCAGGAGACGGACAGTCTGAAAGGAAGAAAAACAAGATAATTAAAACTCGTAGCCGACAACCAAATTAAAGCAGGATGACGAAAAGAGACGTGAGAGCCAAAGGACATGAAATAATATAACATAATAGATAAAGAAGATTTCTTAGCAATTTCAACGGAAGAGCAAGAGATTACAGCTATAAATTGAGAAGGAACAGGTGTGGAAAGTAGTCTATAAAGTTTTGTTTTTTTTTCACGATGGAAGACTAATAGAATGGGATACTAAGTAATACAACTAATGAAAAAAAAATGCTGAATTCAATACCGAAAACGAAACACTAGGAGACTATCTCTGCAACAGTAGCTACAAGTAATTACACAGGTTCACACACACACACAGACACCTAACTTGAACTGTATTCAATATTAACTCACCGCTGAGGGAAGACCAAGGTGTCCTTTACCACCCTTCCCCCCAACACACTGCTGGTCCGCCCTACAGGTAGTATGACGGGCGGACGGAAGGAGATATCGTGTTGAGGATGAGAGGGTAAGTGCTCTTCGGGTAGACAGCTGGCCCGGTGTAACCTGTACCTGCCGAGGCTGGGAATTTGGGCTTGGGAATCAACTCGGAGGCGCGTGGGCGATGCTCTTCGTGGTGGATGTCTGTGTTGGATGAGAACATAAGAACATGAGAAGGGTGATGGAGTTTGAAAATGAGGAAGTGATTGGGGACACTTAGAGGACCTGCAAGTATGACAAACAACACCTCGAGGACAGACAACACTATCTTACACTACAACAGTTTTCTGGTTGGTTGGTTAATGGGGTTTAAAGCCTATCGACTATATTAGTCATAAAGGCTGCCACGTAACCTTTTTCACCACCAGACAAGAACACTTTAATACCTAAAATAGGAATTTAAATAAATTCTCAGCATAAAAATGCCGAGACATTGACCTTCGGTGTTTATATCGTGTGTGAAGTTTACTCTGGCTGTTCCAGATGAGCGTGTAAACCCATGTGTGTGTGTGTGTCAGCACAAGGAATAGTGGAGGTTCGATCCTCCGTCCGCTAAACACTAGACAAGCATTATCTACCCCACATACACCTTGATACAGCAGCTTACTGAAGATAACTTTGAAGAAAACACGAAAGTTATAAAATGGCGTTTCGCTCTGCATAGAGCTTTATTAAATAAATTTGTTTGGTCTATGTAGAGCTTTATTAAATAAAGCTCTACACAGAGTGAAACATTGTCTCGATAGACACTTGTTCTGTATCTACTCATCTCAGGTGAGGACCCAAACATACCATCCCGTCACGTTTAGTATATGGATCATCGAGTCTATACCACTTAATGACTCACAGGGGCTTAGTACTTCACATAAATAACATTAAAAACACACCGAAACTGCTAATACTATTTAAAACTATTAGCCAAGAACGTAAAAGCTATTCCCATTCCCCAGAATCTCTCTCCTTGGCAACTGACCTTATAATCATCTGAGAATTGACCTTTCAACCACTTGATAACTGACCTTTCAACGACCTGTAGTAGGTTGACCAGAAGCGAGCCTTGGCATCTACAGGGTAGCCATTGGTGTGGGCAGCGAGCATACGGGATGTGACAACCATCTTGCTGGTGTGGGCTCTCAGGTGAGCGTTGAGTGGGTCGTGAGTGTCGCCTTCGGTACCACCACCTGCAAGAAGGAAGGTAGTCTTGTAATTTCCTTATATTTACTATTATTTTTCATTGATAATTCCACCACGAAAATTACTGATTAAAAAAAATGTATACTATCATACACCCCCCCACACCAACACCCCCCCCCCACACACACACAGGAGCCATGACTCGATCCCTGCAACCACAATTAAGTCTGTGTGTGCGTGTGTGTGTGTGTGTGTGTGTGTGTGTGTGTGTGTGTGTGTGTGTGTGTGTGTGTGTGCATTACAACCTCCAAATGAGGCCCTCATCTCCTGAAGAGGACCTTAGTTGAGGATGTCGAAAAAATACAGGCTTCTATTCTTCCTGAATTTGCCTCCGCGTGAGATATTAAACTGTACCTAAATCTTCTCGTAGAGGCCTATGTTCATTTTATTGCTCAATTTCCAGAGGATTATTGCATCGTAACTCAAATCGTCAAACTCTCATGAGTACTGCAGTTGTAGACGTGGATCTTTTGTGCAAAGAAAAAATAACTGTGGGCAACATCTCGCCCCTACTGGCCATGATGTACCCCGCACACATGCATATGTTTACCTGGAGAGAGTTCCGGGGGTCAACGCCCCCGCGGCCCGGTCTGTGACCAGGCCTCCTGGTGGATCAGAGCCTGATCAACCAGGCTGTTACTGCTGGCTGCACGCAAACCAACGTACGAGCCACAGCCCGGCTGATCAGGAACCGACTTTACGTGCTTGTCCAGTGCCAGCTTGAAGACTGCCAGGGGTCTGTTGGTAATCCCCCTTATGTATGCTGGGAGGCAGTTGAACAGTCTCGGGCCCCTGACACTTATTGTATGGTCTCTTAACGTGCTAGTGACACCCCTGCTTTTCATTGGGGGGATGTTGCATCGTCTGCCAAGTCTTTTGCTTTCGTAGTGAGTGATTTTCGTGTGCAAGTTCGGTACTAGTCCCTCTAGGATTTTCCAGGTGTATATAATCATGTATCTCTCCCGCCTGCGTTCCAGGGAATACAGGTTTGGGGACCTAAAGCGCTCCCAGTAATTGAGGTGTTTTATCTCCGTTATGCGCGCCGTGAAGGTTCTCTGTACATTTTCTAGGTCAGCAATTTTACCTGCCTTGAAAGGTGCTGTTAGTGTGCAGCAATATTCCAGCCTAGATAGAACAAGTGACCTGAAGAGTGTCATCATGGGCTTGGCCTCCCTAGTTTTGAAGGTTCTCATTATCCATCCTGTCATTTTTCTAGCAGATGCGATTGATACAATGTTATGGTCCTTGAAGGTGAGATCCTCCGACATGATCACTCCCAGGTCTTTGACGTTGGTGTTTCGCTCTATTTTGTGGCCAGAATTTGTTTTGTACTCTGATGAAGATTTAATTTCCTCGTGTTTACCATATCTGAGTAATTGAAACTTCTCATCGTTGAACTTCATATTGTTTTCTGCAGCCCACTGAAAGATTTGGTTGATGTCCGCCTGGAGCCTTGCAGTGTCTGCAATGGAAGACACTGTCATGCAGATTCGGGTGTCATCTGCAAAGGAAGACACGGTGCTGTGGCTGACATCCTTGTCTATGTCGGATATGAGGATGAGGAACAAGATGGGAGCGAGTACTGTGCCTTGTGGAACAGAGCTTTTCACCGTAGCTGCCTCGGACTTTACTCTGTTGACGACTACTCTCTGTGTTCTGTTAGTGAGGAAATTATAGATCCATCGACCGACTTTTCCTGTTATTCCTTTAGCACGCATTTTGTGCGCTATTACGCCATGGTCACACTTGTCGAAGGCTTTTGCAAAGTCTGTATATATTACATCTGCATTCTTTTTGTCTTCTAGTGCATCTAGGACCTTGTCGTAGTGATCCAACTGGCCATGATGTACCCCACACACATGCATGTGGGTAACATCTCGCCCCTACTGGCCATGATGATCCTACTGGCCATAGTGATCCTACTGGCCATGATGTACCCCACACACATGCATATGGGTAACATCTCGCCCCTACTGGCCATGATGCACCCCACACACATGCATGTAGGCAACATCTCGCCCCTACTGGCCATGATGTACCCCACACACATGCATGTGGGTAACATCTCGCCCCTACTGGCCATGATGTACCCCACACACATGCATATGGGTAACATCTCGCCCTTACTGGCCATGATGTACCCCACACACATGCATGTAGGCAACATCTCGCCCCTACTGGCCATGATGTACCCCACACACATGCATGTAGGCAACATGAGGAAATTAAATCTTCATCAGAGTACAAAACAAATTCTGGCCACAAAATAGAGCGAAACACCAACGTCAAAGACCTGGGAGTGATCATGTCGGAGGATTTCACCTTCAAGGACCATAACATTGTATCAATCGCATCTGCTAGAAAAATGACAGGATGGATAATGAGAACCTTCAAAACTAGGGAGGCCAAGCCCATGATGACACTCTTCAGGTCACTTGTTCTATCTAGGCTGGAATATTGCTGCACACTAACAGCACCTTTCAAGGCAGGTGAAATTGCCGACCTAGAAAATGTACAGAGAACTTTCACGGCGCGCATAACGGAGATAAAACACCTCAATTATTGGGAGCGCTTGAGGTTCCTAAACCTGTATTCCCTGGAACGCAGGAGGGAGAGATACATGATTATATACACCTGGAAAATCCTAGAGGGACTAGTACCGAACTTGCACACGAAAATCACTCATTACGAAAGCAAAAGACTTGGCAGACGATGCACCATCCCCCCAATGAAAAGCAGGGGTGTCACTAGCACGTTAAGAGACCATACAATAAGTGTCAGGGGCCCGAGACTGTTCAACTGCCTCCCAGCACACATAAGGGGGATTACCAACAGACCCCTGGCAGTCTTCAAGCTGGCACTGGACAAGCACCTAAAGTCAGTTCCGGATCAGCCGGGCTGTGGCTCGTATGTTGGTTTGCGTGCAGCCAGCAGCAACAGCCTGGTTGATCAGGCTCTGATCCACCAGGAGGCCTGGTCTCAGACCGGGCCGCGGGGGCGTTGACCCCCGGAACTCTCTCCAGGTAAACTCCAGGTACTGGCCATGATGTACCCTGCACGCTACGTCAAGAAAAACGCGGTCTGTTCCTACTTGATTTCAGTTATTCGGTGGTAAAGCTCTAGTAATTCGTAAGATTCAATTGTTTTCTCTAGATCTGTAAGATTCGGTTTCTCTAGATTCTTAAGATTCGGTTGTTTTCTCTAGATTCGTGACATTTTTTTCTCTAGATTCGTAAGGCTCAATTTTCTCGAGATTCATAAGATTAATTTATTTTCTTTAGTGGATTCGTAAGACTCATTTGTTTTCTCAAGTGGACTCGTAACATTCAATTGTTTTCTCTAGTAAATTCGTAAGATTCAGTTGTTTTCTCTAGTAGCTTCGAAACATTCAGTTGTTCCATCTAGTAGATTCGTAAGATTAAGTTTTCTACAGTAAATTCGTAAGATTCGGTTGTTTTCTCTAGTAGATTTCTAATATTCAGGTGTTTTCTCTAGTAGATTCGTAAGCTTCACTTATTTTCTCTAGTGGATTCGTAAAATTCATATGTTTTCTCAAGCTCACTCGTAACATTCAATTGTTTTCTCTAGTAGAGCCGAAATATTCAGTTGTTTTATCCAGTAGATTCGTAAGATTCTATTGTTTTGTCTAGTATATTCGTAATATTAAGCTTTCTGTGGTAGATTCGTAAGATTCAGATGTTTCCTCTAGTATATTCGTAAGATTCAGTTGTTTTCTCTAATAGATTCGCAAGAATAAGTTTTCTGTAATAGATTCGTACGATTAAGTTTTCTGTAGTAGATTCGTAAGATTAAATTTTTCTAGTAGATTCGTAAGATTCGTTGTTTTTCCAGTAGATTCATAAGTTTCATTGCTTTCCCAAGTATATTAGTAAGATTCAGTTTTCTCCAGCAGATTAGTGTCTCATTGTTTTCTCTAGTATATTCGTAAGATTCAGTTTTCTCTAGCAGATTCTCAGGTCTCATTGTTTTCTCAGATTCAGTGCTTGCTATCTATTACGTGTTCGTTGCTTTCCAGGTGCTGGACTATACTCTCGTTATCTTTGCTGGTCCTTGGACAACATGCCAGCGAAACTGTACGTGTAAGTCCGTGTGTACACCCCTGTGTGTCCGTCCGTGTGCATGCATGGGTGTGTAGCCAGTGTAAATAGCCACGGTAGAGAGTGTTGTGGTGTAGTCCGTGTATGGTGCAGTTGCAAGGAGTTGTGGGCGGAGCTGAATAAATACCTCGAAGATTATAACTGCTGGCCGGAGTTTGTTCCGGAAACCTCCCACTCACCTTCCCTCCCCAGTCAAGCAGCTATACTACGAGTATATGAGGGGGATATGAGGGGTGGGATCGGGGAAGGTGGCGACAAGGTCATCTGGCACTAATATAGACCAAATGAGCACGGGTTTTGGGTTGTACCTACATGGGTACGCAAATGTATATAAAGTTGAGAGAGAGTGTGCTTCCACTGCAGTCTGCCTTAATGCCAGCGTTCAGTTTGCAGTGTATTTGGCCACGGTAGTGTTTCAGTGTTTACTAAGGTCCCCGATATCTGCAGACAGCGTATTCCCATTTATTTAATTATTTATGACTTTTGTTACATGTCGTTGTATGTTTACACGAGAAATCTGTCACATTATCACACACAAAAATTCTTTCATTACTTAAATGCTCGCACACAATTAACCCGTATTAGGAGACTCAAACTTATGTCGATGTTTCGGTCCGATTTGGACCATTAACTGTGTGTCTAGTTAATGGTCCAAGTCGGTCCAAAAGTTCGTCATAATTTTCAGTCTCCTAAGTTCGGGATATTTGTAATTGTTCCAGTCACGGTATTGTGCCTTTTATCCTTCATAAATATTCGTATACATTCCCTAATTTTCAAGAATGTTATGACGCCCTCTGAGGTGTGGCCACTCGTTTATTGATAAACTTATGTTTATATTCCTGGAGCTCTGTGAAAATATTATACATCAA